GTATTATATAAGAATTTTATTTATTTTGTGATGATACATCTTTAACTTGAAAAAAAAATATGCTACATAAAATTGTAATTCATAGGGGTCTTTTTATGAGGTTCAACTGAGGTTCGAGTTTAGGTAGGATTGGCATTGGGAAGATCTAAGGTCGGGAATCTGAGATTGTATCTTAGGATCGGAGCTGAACCGATCCGTTCACTTGTTAACTGTTTTACTAGGGACTAAAATGAAAATAATAAAACTGATAACTAGGGTGTTTATTTAGGAAGGTACGATAGAATTTCCCTTAACAGAGAATATTGCACTAAAAATAAAAGGAAATTTTTATGGTGCATCATCTTAAGGGATGTATTGGTGCGTTTTCACACCTGGCAGTACTTTAGTACCCGTGTTTTCTACATACGATTAAATAGCCTAAATTGCAATTTAGTACATATTCATACGGAGCATTAATTGTGGAAATTGCGTACATTTGCATATTCTAGCAAAACAGAAAGTTAAAATAACACATTGCCCCCCTTTTCTTAAAAAATAATAATCACGGAACATGATAAAACTTCATTGAAATACAAAAAGTTTAGGGCTTCTTTACTACACAGATATTTCCATTTTTTCTATTTATGTTTTTCCTTCTTCCATTTTGTGTTTTCATTTTTTAGTTTTCTATTCAAATCTGAAAACATATTGATTCATTCTTTTCACTCAGTTCTTTAACCGGTCAAAAGACTGAAAGTACGGTCCATGTCCGAAACTGAACCTAGTACAACCCAAGTAGGGTATTGGGTCCAACTTATAGGAAAGTCGGGACCGAAACTGATCGGTCCCTGTCGATCTCAATAGTTAGTTTGATGAATTCTTTTCACATTTCCTTATTAGGTGACAACTTATTAGAAATATAGCAGACCGAAAGTATATTATTATTATTGATCCAGTGTGTCTCAGTACAAGGTATTTATAGTAGCTGTGTGTATAGTATTAATTTTTGAAATTCTTAGTGAATCGTGAATTTGATTTAACATATTATTTTTTAATAATTATTTAGAGATAAACTTTATGTAGATTCAATTAGTAACAACTTCCCACAAATAAAAATACATACTAGCTAATTAGGTTATGACCCGTGCGGGTCCACCCAGTGCGGGTCACCAAGTTTGGACCCGTGCGGGTCCACCCAGTGAAGTCACGGGGAGGGTCGGGGTCTTGCAGTATCCACCCCGACCTGACCCATTGCCATGGCTAATTACAAGCAACCGGATATATACTCTTACTATCCCCCCTCAAACTTAGTATGGTATGATGGGACATTCAATCACACTAAGTTTGTTCTTCAGCTCAAGGAATCTGGTGCTTGAGAGAGGTTTTGTCAACAGATCAGGTACCTGATAAATTGCAGGAACATAAAGAACTCGAAGCTTGCCAAGTACTTTGTGGTTTGATGACATCGATGTTGATCTCCCAAAGAAGAGTTCATATACTATAATAGTTTTAGAAGAATGTTCCAAAAAAATTGAAGAACTTGAAGCTTCATGTATGTGAAATATCTTTTCATGAACAAAATATAGATCAAGCTTCATATGTTTGATAAAACTTTTCACTTTAAAAAATATAATGATTTCGAAAAATCGAGACTAAACCGCTGGGTCATATAGACCGGCCCGGACAGGGACCACAAGGTTGTTTACGAGACTGACTCAGGACCGCCCGGTTGTCGATCGGACCGAACACAGACCGTCGGGTCAATTGGAAGACAGGATAGGGATCGTTAGGTTGTTGATCGGACAAGACGGAGACTACCGGGTGATCGTCCGGACAGGATGATGATCATCGTCGGGTCTTTGACCATATCGGGACTTACACTAGGCATAAGTATACAAATTCATTGCAGCATCCGCGTTTTTCGAATTTGGAAAACTAGTAAAAGTCAATTCTCCAATTCATTAAGAAAAACAGAGACATGTCTCATTTTTTAAAAAAACGATTTGGTAAACACAATTTTTTGTTTTCCTTTCTCCAGTTTTACAGACTTAAACACAATTTTTACAGACCGGAAAATAGGCCAGATTTTTGGAAAAAGTTTTTCAAAACTTAAATAGACCAGTTTAGACTAGACTTATACATACCAGACCAGACCAGACCAAACTAGACTAGCAAATTTCAGTCCAAGTAAAAACATCGCTCTAATCTGATGAGAGATAAGACTAAATACAAATCAAGTAAAAACATACTCGTAAGTTATTTACCGCCACCGAGTTTTGATACTTCAAGTCTTCCACAACAAAACTGAACAAAAAAACTCAAAAACACGTTGTATGAAAGTTGTTTGATAGATATTTCAATTTGTAAATTGAATTTAGGCCTTGTTTTGGAAAGAAAAATGCAAAGATTTTAGTGGAAAACAGAAAGGAAAGAATTAAAGCGGAGTACGAAATAAATAATCCGTATGTTTTAGAAGTAAGATTGTAATTTAATATGGGTAGATAAGAAAGATGTTATATAGTTAAGGGCTAACATGTAAACAGATAGAATTTAATACGGAGTATACGTAGTATATAAATGAAAGATGTTACTTTGATGATAATGTCTCACTAATTGCTTACGTGGAATGCCTTCCACTTATATTTAGCCACATGTGGAATGCATCAATACATTCCACAACACGAATGCACGGGAGAGCTACCCAAAATAAAATTACGATCTGAGTCCGAAATCGGAAATTGTAATAGTTTTCCGAAATCCAAGAGACACATTTCTGAGTAGTAAGAAAAGTTTATCATTCTCATTTGAAATTTGGGTAGAAACTAGAAAGTGAATTATGAATACACATAAATGACATACTTTTGTCTTTCATCGCATTTGAAAATGGGGTATTAAAGCAAGTAGCGAATAAAGTTAAAAGAATATTATTCCATTTGAAAATTTCCATGCCTAGCCTATTAGTATTTCTTATTTTAATAGGTGCATTCATTATTCAAGTGCATCTAAAATTCTAAGTAAAGTTAAAGTAGCTGAAAGCTGAAAGTTAGACGTCTTTGTTTTTCACTTCTTTTTTTTGAAAGATCGCTTTTTAATTATATATACGTAGTACTACGCACTATGTAAAAATTACTTTTTCAAGGCTCAGAATTTACCGTCCTTGGGCATAGGTTCGATTCTCACAAGCCTCAGTTTTTTGTTTTTTGAATGATACATGGTGTATATGTATATGTGTGCTGACTTCGAATAGGGAGGTGGCAGATAAAATGACATGGAAATAGAATTTAGTTTCGGTGCTGACATGGAACGATGACGAAGCAAAAATGATCCTATTTGGGAAATAAGTTTAAAATACCCTACTTTGAGAAATAAGATTAGAAAGTATCCATCCCGGAAAATAACTCGAGCATGATGGCATTTGTATAGCAAGTAGACTTTTTCTAATTGTTGGGTTTCATGAAGGGCATTTTGGTCACCTTCTCCCATTTTAACTCTTGTGAAACTTCCTATATTTCCATTTTTAATAATGCATTTTGGTCACCTTCAAATACGTGTAACGGTAGATTATATAGGCCGTATCAAATGTTGGAGGGTAATTAGTTAATTACATTTTTTAATTCTCTTATCGTCAAATATGAGTTCATATTTTTTTTTTTGAGTTCATATTTTTGGGGTAATAATTATTACATCGGTTTTCTATAAGAGTTCACTTTTGACGAAGAAAACTTGTCCTTGAAATCCTCTCTAGGCATTCACTTTTTGTAGTTTAAAATCTCGACCGATAGGCTCCCAAAGGGAAAACTGTCAAATAGGTCCTCGAACTTTCATAAAAAAGTCAATTAAGTCCTTCTATAGGAGACTTTGTCCGGTCGTCGCGATTTGGGGCGGTTCCCGGTGGAATTTTTTGATGAATTTTTTTGAGCATCTTATTCATCAAGCCTAGTTTAATCATACCAAATTTCAACTAAAAATTTAATCGGGAGCGCATTCAAATTAATTCGAGAACGCAAAAATGCGCAGTTATCTTCAAGAATTAATTTGGATGTGTTCCCGATTGAATTTTTAGCTAAAATTTGGTATGAATAAACAAGACTTGGTGAATAAGATGCTCAAAAAAATTAATCAAAAAATTCCACCGGGAACTGTCCCAAATCGCGACGGCCGGACAGAACCTCCTATAGAAGGACTTAATTGACCTTTTTATGAAAGTTCGAGGACCTATTTGACAGTTTTCCCGCTCCCAAACTATTAACTAATTAACTTTGTGTAGTCTTCGGTCACCTCTAGCTGTTTGGTGGTGCTTGCATTTTTTGAGGTGCTATTCGATCATCTCTCTACTTTGGTTATTCTTATATAGATTGATGAATACTAAATTTGTGTGTAGCTCAGTTTTTATGTTTCTATCTAGCTAGTTCTGAATTGATGGAAATTGGACTAATAATTCGAAAATGTCATACTCCCTCCGTCCCATTTTACATGTTCTACTTTCCTTTTTGGGTTGTCCCAAAATAAGTGTCTCCTTTTCTTTTTTGGAAAGAAATATGTGGTCTACACCACATTTCACTTTATTAAACTTAAATCTCAACCACAACTTTTACTTTTTCAACTACTTCATTAATAACCGTGCCGAGTCATAAGATTAGAAAGTAGTCATCCCCGGAAATAACTCAAGCATGATGGCATTTGGATAGCAAGTAGACTTTTTCTAATTGTTGGGTTTCATGAAGGGCATTTTGGTCACCTTCTCCCTTTTTAACTCTTGTGAAACTTCCTATATTTCCATTTTTAATAATGCATTTTGGTGACCTTCAAAAGTTCAAATACGTGTAACGGTAGATTATATAGGGCGTAAGCCGTATCAAATGTTGGAGGGTAATTAGTTAATTACATTTTTTAGTTCTCTTATCGTCAAATATGAGTTTATATTTTTGGGGTAATAATTATTACATCGGTTTTCTATAAGAGTTCACGTTTGACGAAGAAAACTTGTCCTTGAAATCCTCTCTAGGCATTCACTTTTTGTAGTTTAAAATCTCGACCGATAGGCTCCCAAACTATTAACTTTGTGTAGTCTTCGGTCACCTCTAGCTGTTTGGTGGTGCTTGCATTTTTTGAGGTGCTATTCGATCATCACTCTACTTTGGTTATGCTTATATAGATTGATGAATACTAAATTTGTGTGTAGCTCAGTTTTTATGTTTCTATCTAGTTCTGAATTGCTGGAAATTGGACTACTAAATTTGTGTGTAGCTCAGTTTTTATGTTTCTATCTAGTTCTGAATTGCTGGAAATTGGACTAATAATTCAAAAATGCCATACTTTTCTACTTCTCATGTTGTTCTTAGTCAGGGCCGGCCCACAGCAAGTGTGGGCAGTGCTATGGCACAGCGCCAAGTTTAAATTTCGAACTTGGTAACACGGGAATGCTAGTACTGCTATTTAGGGCAATTTGTGTCTTCTATATTTTCACCAAATCATGCATGATTGTCCTACTTAAGAACTTAACTCGTTAGTTAAGGAGTGTTTGCACTTACTTAAAAAAGGTTTTTCAGTTTTTGACTTTAAAAAAGCTGAAAAGAGTGTTTTCAAATGACAGCTTCTGCTTAAATTAATCACTTAAAAGCTGGAAGCAGGTGGAAGAGTGTTTTAAACTGCTTTTCACTTTTTCTATTACATAAAAAACACTTATTTTATCAAGTACTACCAACTTTTACTTTTTCAGAATCACTTTTTTATTAAACAATACCAACTTTTACTATTAAGTACTTTCTCCAAACTCATTTTAAAAAATCATTTTTTTTAGGTAGATTCTATTGTACCCAAAAGGTACCATACCTTTGTCCACATGGACCAATGAGAATGTAGCAGTTGAATTATTTAAATCTAAATTAAAAGTGATAAAGTGATGTGGTCCAATCAAATGAATGATAGGTACTAGGTACGGTACCCCATTTTTTAAAAAGGTACCGGAGTTGTAGAAGCAAAGGCAAACACTCCATATTGATCCAAATAAATCTTTTTTTATTTCTTACAGAACGGAGTTTAAACAGGCATGATGACGAGTATATCCATAACAGCTATTTGTTATTTCCTTGTGATCCATATCTTCATCCTCCGCAAAGGAGTGGTGGCGGACTTGAAGGCCGACAAAGAAGCTCTTCTAGAGTTTGCATCTGCGGTGGGCGGGGGGGAGAAACTGGGCTGGAGCAGGGAGGCCCAAATATGTAGTGACTGGGCTGGCGTGAAATGCCGCGGCAGCCGGGTAGTGGAACTGCATCTGCCGGGAATGGGGCTGAGCGGGGGCATACCGGAAAACACCATTGAACGGTTGGACGCGCTGAGGGCCCTGAGCCTTGATAATAACTCTTTCACGGGATCGCTCCCGTGGAAGCTGATGAAGCTGAAGAGTTTGAACGAGAGCAACAACAGCTTTGAGGGCTCCATTCCGGCGTCACTGTCGAGGTTTCCTCATCCGTCCTTTGCGGGGAATGCTTTACTAATGAATAATCAGCCGTGCCGCCCTCGCCGCCTTCTGATGTCAAAGAAAAAGAAAGACAAACTGGTGAAACTTGTTATTGGATGTATATTTACTGCAATTTTTATTTGTGGAGTAGTACTAGCAATTCGGTGTTACCATCGACACAAAGCAGGTAAAGATATTATTGGAAAGTTGTGTTAAAAATTGGATTAAATGGTTAATTTGGGACATTATTTTGAGTGGAATTCACTTCCGATTTGGGTCGGGTCAAAATAGTTTCAGATTCCTCTTGTTAAGGGCTACAATTCGATATATAGTGTTGATGTGAGTTTTTTCGCACTAATAATATGTAGCAGTATATGGCATATAACTACGAGTATCGTCTCCACATGGATAAAAAAAGGGAATCAAGAATTAAATAAATTCAGTGATTAAAAAATGCGATGTGCGAGATTTGGATTTTCGGAAAATAAACTAATGCGAAAAAGCGATTTTTTTAACCCGGAAGGTAAACCACCCATCGATGGGGCAAATGTCGGGGAACATTTGTCAGTATTTTATTAAAATAAAAATGTTGTACAAAATGAGAGGGGGACCACTAGACCTGACCGGTTTGAACTTGCAAGTGTACAATTCAAGTGCCGATATAGTAATAAATTCCAGTAAAATACCGGGTCGAATCCACAGGGAAACATTGTTTAATTTAGTCCGAGAGTAGTTGACTTTAAATAAATAAATGAGTAAAGTGCAGGGATTTTGATTTGTGTGTTGTTGTGAAAACAACAACTTGGTTCTTCTTTTTTAATTTCAAGGATATTACTTTAATTAATTTGAGTTTAAGATGAATGATAACAACGACTAAGGCTTCGGGAATCACTTAAGGGGTTAGGTCATAAATAATACTAATTAGAAGGATATGGACAACTCTAAGACTTCTTTTAGTAGAGGACAAAAAAGAGACAAACCGTGCGGAACATTTAAACAACTTTAGATGAAAGATCAAAAATGCCCCTACTGCTAATGAATATACTCCGTACGTGCGTTGTGAATCATAGCATTTCCATCTTCCAAGTTTTCAAAATGCCGCAACCATTTTCCACGATTAGAAAAATTGACCGACATTTATAAATTATTTGACCCCAGTGAGATTTATAATTATTTGACTCGTCCAATTACAAGTACACATCCATCTACTTGGAATTACCTTCCCCGATCAGTTAGAATTATCCGACCAGTTACAATTACTTGATTGATAAATTATAATTATCCAACTCAATCAATTAAAATTACTTGATCCGAGCAGTTACAGTTACTCGGACCGTCCAGTTACAATTACCCGAGCCGACCAGTTATAGTTACTCAATCCAACCAGTTACAGTTACTCGGACCGTCCAGTTACAATTACTCGATCTGACCAGTTATAGTTACTCGATCTGACCAGTTACAGTTACTCGGACCGTCCAGTTACAATTACCCGATCCGACCAGTTATGATTACTAGATCCGACCAGTCACAGTTACTCGGACCGTCCAGTTACAATTACTTGATCCGACCAATTACAATTATCTGATCCAACCAATTAGCTAGTTACAATTACCAAAACTCAATTACAATTATCTGATATGACCCGTTATAGTTACAAGCTATGTAGCACAGAAACTCTCGAGAAAGAGTACGTTTCCCATTTCGGAAACTCTCGGAAACTCTTCGGAAACTCTCCAAATAAGCCTTTTTTGAGAAAAAATTGACGTTTCCCGTTTCCCGTTGCCTCATGATTTTCGCGTTTTCGTGCAACATAGGTTACAAGACCCGACCCGGTCAATTATCCAACCCAACCCGTTGCAATTACCTGTTTCACCTATAGTTACTCGGTTTAAATAATTAAAATTACTCCCTTCCGTAGTGACCATCGCTACCCCCCACTGTCAGAGACCACCACCAGCGGTAACCACCACCGCCGGCCACCGAACCCCAGCGACGGCAGCGGCTCTCTGCAGGCACAGGCTCACCCCTCCACAGCTGAACCCCAGCGCCTCGGCATCCTCACCCCTCCCCTGCCTCCCCTAGCGCCGCTGGCCATGTCTCCAACCCACACCCCCAAGCCCAGCCACCTCTCCAGACCTTTCCCCAGCCCCATCCATGGTTGTCGTCGGCCCCGTAACACCAACCGCGGAATCTGCCAGCCCCAACCCTAATCACGCAATCTGGCAACCCCCCCCCCCCCCCCACGTGCCTCTACGCACCGCCGCCATGAATCATAACTACAGAAAATAGTGAGCACTCCAGAGAAAGGAGAAGAAGAAGAGGTGTTCGTCGATGTCAATGGCTCACCACCATCGCTGGAGCTCAGTGCAGCGCAGAAGTCATCTTCGTCGTCGTCGAAGGTGCGATGAACCGTTGCTGAAGCAGATCCGTCGCAGATCCGTCGCTAAAGCAGATTTGTCGCAGATCTGTCGCTGAAACAGATTCGTCGCTGAGGTCCGTAGCAGATGCACGCATTTGACTTAGAGATCAGAAGGTTGATGGATGCAGAGGGCGGAAAGAGAGACGGAAATAGGGATTCGAGGACAATTCAGACAATTGGCATCCGTTTAAGTCTCTTTTTTGTCTAAAACGTAATTAGGGTCTATTTTTGTCTAATGAAATCATGGGAGTCTTATTCTTGACATTATTTCATCACTTAAATTCTTTCATAGGGTTGAATATTAGTTCTTTGCCAATAATTATGAATACGATGTCGCTAATATATTCTCAACTCCAGTTAAGGCAGCGAGAGCGTGGTTTTCGTTACATGTAAGTCCCGTTAAGGCTTACATTCATCTACCGAAAACTCCGTTGAATATCAAGACATCACACCCGTATCATATAATACCGGATATATTTCTATTCTCGGTAATATATATGTTTATCCTTTAATGTTCATAGTTTAGACTTCATCGCTAATTGCAAGCATAAACTAAATTTAACATACTTCTATGTTGTACACCATAGTCATAAACAATCAAAATGTAAAGGATAAATCACAATTTATTGGTTTAGAACTTTTATCAAACACCTAATGGGCATAGAAGTTCATCCCTAGCCTTAGCTAAGAACTTAGCCTCTAATGCTCATATTAGTTACAAAAGTGTAACTAAGAACAATAAAATACAATAACATACAAGAAATAAGAGAGAAATCATCTCATCAGGCCGGCCTGACGGGCTGCCCCGTCCGGCCGAGCCCGTTTGGGCACCTTCCCGGTGGAATTTTTTGATGAAATTTTTTGAGCATGTTCCTCATCAAGTCTAGTTTGTCCATACCAAATTTCAGCTCAAAATTCGATCGGGAAGGTCGTCAAATGATTTTTGCAGAAGTTTTCCGTATCAGTTCGTAACTTTAGTATACTAACCGTAATGAAAAGTCATCCCAATGCAGAACAACTTTGATATCGGCTATAATTGAACCGTCATTAAATGTTCAAATTTTGACCCGACATTGCAGAATTACTTCTCCACAGTTTTGTTAAATGTCCTTTAATCAACACTATTATTTATATAGGAATTAATTAAATATGAAAGGAAAACACAATATTTAAGAAAATCATGACAACATATTATTGATCTTACTTAGAAAAGATACAATATTCTTACATAAAATCACACTTCATACCAACAATTACTTACAAAAGTTACATATCACTTTAACATACCGCTTTAATAACATTCAATAAATTGCTATAAAATCCAGTAATTGAGTCACCAAAGTTCATGTTGAGTGACAAAATGGGTCTTGATCATTGAATACCTACAGGTTAAACAGCAGAAGTAAGCACAACTAAACAATATAAAAGGGCAAGCACAAGTAAAAAAGCTAGAACGAAAAAATGTAAACATAACAACTCAAACATAATACAAAAGTTTTCACCACCCTCTAAGAATTAGAAGACCCTATGTAGCAATCCTATGTCTAATAACTCATATCTTCCCTTTATAAGCACCATCACGAAATCTTTTGTACTCTACATTCTTTCTGTCTTAGAAAAAAGAATTCGAAAATTTACCGGAAGACATAAAACACCACTTTCATATTAATATGGAAAAAATTCCAACTGGAGAAATAAAATAATGCTCATTGATTATATTCAAACCAATAGCTATTCATAGACTGCTCATGCATTATATGCAAACCACCACCATAGCACACAGGGAAGAGATGATTATATATAATTGGTACTGAACAATATATAAATTAAAAAAAAATTATACTACGTATCACTTGGAATTAAATATAATCAAATATGCTTACCATTGACTTAAACTATTTTGGTGTGGAATTTCTTTTAGTTTTGATCATATGATGAATTTGCAGGGCCTAATGAAAGAGAAGAATTCAAATTAGTCATTTTTTAAATTTAAAGTCATAATAAGAATTAAGCAATATAATATTACTAAATTTATGTCATGTATCTAAAACACAGTACATGCAAATGTCTAGCATTTGAATCAAAACTAATACTCTGGGGTATATGAAATAATGAGACTTCAAATTAGTGAGCAGAACAGAGCAAATAGTAATATAATATTGACAAGCTGAAGCAGAGAAAATTAGTGAGTAGAACAGAGAGAATAACAAATAAGAGTCTAATCTGCAAATGCATATGCGAAGCTCAAGAAGAGGCTCTTACTCACTTAAAGTCTTCTCTCGTTTCTCTATATTTATCACTCAATTTGGAATCAGATACAATTGAATGAGTGCAACAGTTTAGATATATGACGATTATATCTTTTTAAGAAAGAGAAAGCAATACTATTACCTCATCAGCAGCATGAAATTAAATCCTAAAAAGAATACGACAACATAATAAGAGCTTAAATTTTAACACATTAGAATGATTAAAATTTTCAAAAACAAAAAGAAAAAATAAGAATGACTCGCTATGTAGATACTATAGACTATGTGACATTACCACCAAATCTATATACTGCAAAAGAAAGACTGGTGTAAATGAGAGAGGCTAAATAGGCTACAAATGACTATATACTTCATACTTTTCATGTTCATTATTCATTTCTATTTGCAGTTGTTTTTTCATAAATATTACTCTCTCAAAAAAGGTCTTAGAGAAATACTCTCACTATATTCTAGAGCTATGTAGTCGTGACTGGCTTTGATTAAACACAACTGTTATGTTCTATGGTTCAATAATCAGTGCAATATTCTAGAGCTATGATCAAATTTACTTATGTTGATGAAATAATCATAGTCTTTAAGTCCCATTTGTTTACTTATTTTTTTGCAGAACCTATTCGTATCAGACTAGGAAGAATAACTGAAACCTAAAAAAAAAGGGGAAAAGAAAATGCCATAGGAATCTAGTATTTTTTTTGCTAAGGTTTTTGTTTACTCAAACAATAATGAATATTTCTTTGAATATATAACTGATACATTTCCCACGGCCACCAAATGAAGGGAGAATCAACCCAAATCCGAGAAAGCTTATGTTGAAGTTGGGCAAATAAAATGGAAACAGTGTCTGATATGATAACATATGTTTGAGTTTGTGTCAGTATATTGACCAGGTCAAATTAATATATACCATCATAAAAAATGCTTAAATTTGAAAGAATAATGACACGTTATGTATTAAGATGTGCTAACACGACCAACTAATTAAAAAATACCTAAAGCACCAGGATTATGAACTAAACTTTTAGCTTTCCATATATAAAAAGCAAATTTTCAGATCTAAACAAACTCAATATGTACCACACTACAATCACGATCAACTAAAATTAAAGTTAATTCTTAGTCGCAAACAAAAATTTAAAGTTGAAACTAAAAGACTTCGATCACCCACATTAAACTAGATACGAGTATAAAGAAAAAGAAACAACATGTTTTTGAGACATAATCACTCTTATGTAAAGACAATTGATTGAAAACTTCAATGTGACATTCTTACAAACAGTTAGTAGGCATTAGAAAAATTAAAAAACATAGAAATAATTTTTTTCACGGTTTATAACAAATTAAATTCAACTGCACAAAGTGAATGAGACATATACATAAATCAAGAATCAATAGTAGAAAAAAATTAATATGTAAAAAAAATATTTTTACTTCAATAAGCTGGAGTGAAGTTTTTGGGCTATGAAGATCGGGCAAGTGGATGAGCTGTGGAAAATAGGAGAGCAGCGGCAGGGTGTAGGCGTCGTCTAGGAGTGCGAAGGTCGTGTAGGAGTGACCGTGCGGAGGTCGTCGTCTAGGCGTCCTATAGGCGCGATGGAGTCCGAGCGTCTTCTAGGAGCATCGAAGTGTGAGCATCTTCTAGGAGGGCTGGAGAGCGGGCGTCATCTAGGATCGACGATGTGCGGGCGTCATCGACGAGCGTCGGAGTGAGGGCATCGTCTAGGAGCGGCGAATTGAGGTAGCGGCAGATCTTTCCTCCTGTCGGTAGAAACCTAATGTAACCCTGAGAAACCCTTCTCGTTTTCGAAGGCTTTAATTTTGAGGATTCATTCTATAAGGGTTAAAAACCAAGCCGACATGGAAAATTTTTATTTGAAATTTCAAAAAACACCCCGCATCAGATTGAATTTCTGAAAAATTATGAATATGACCCCGTTTTTCTTTTCTACAGCGGGTTAACATAGAACCGTTATTGATAAAGTTTTTCTTTTTACACTTTTAGCCCACCAAACAACACGGAGCTCTTAATATTTGTGAATTTGACCCCGTGTTGATATACTATAACAGTCAAGAATCAACCCATATTAAATGTCAGTTATAGAAAGCATATTTTCCACTAGTGATAAATGTACAATACAAATAAAAATATATAATGGGAGTGTATATAATTATATGTTTATTATTATTATATAGACGTATAATCGTTGAGCGGTTTTCCGGCTTGGACCGGGTTGACCCTCTGGGTCCGGGTTGATCCGTGACCCAGTCACATGACCGGGTCGCTCACCGGTCCGGTTTTTACAACATAGATTTTTACCTGTTTTATCTTTGAATATTTGTACAGATAATCATAATTGCCTATTAAAAAATATAGATAATTGTTGTGTCTATCAAATTCCCCCACACTTGAGCGTTGCTAGTCCTCGAGCAATGTTATCACCTTGTATGCTTTGGGTTAGTTTCAACAAAGATATAAACAAAAATAAATCAATTTTTAAGAGAGATAAAAATGACATATAAACTCTTTTATCATTCTCAGTCCAAAAACCATTTTTTCAATTAAACACAAAAAGTATTATTTAGATTTAGAAAACTACTTGTACTCTTGAAAATAAAGGAATGATTTGTGACTATGCTTTTTTGGGTGGGTGGGATGGCTTTTTGGGGTTTTTGACTTTTAAGTTGTATGAATCAATTGAACTTCCTAGATTAGACCATGAGTTTTCTTCTTCTTCTTCTTCTTCTTTTTTAACTCATTTGAAAAGGTCTTCAACTAGTATTTACTGAAAGTCATTTGACGATGCCTATTTATTTGATGAGATGTGATAGTGGGTTTTGTGTTCCAAAATGGTGCTTGAATGTAGTATTTGACCATTTTTGGAAATGAAGGAAGGAGATACTTTCTAGTCACAAGAATTTATTTTTTTGGAATAATTTTCAAGAGTAAAGAGTAGTCTAAAAAAATGTTAGGTTTTTGTAAATAATTAAAAAAAACTTTCTCAACCAAATACCCGTTAAAAAAAGAGAAATATGACAATTTTACCTTCCTAAAAAGAAATTATTTTTGCACACAAAATTTGTTTTAACTACCCATGAGATGCACCCCCCACACTTATAATACATTGTCTCAATGTATCATGCATGATAAACAAATACTTTCAACAACATCCACAACAAAAGTGTGTTTAGAGGAAAGTAATGTTATGGGAAAATGAAATAAGAGCAAGGGGGAGTCAATGGTGTGGATCAGGAGGGGGATACCCATGTTGGGAGTAGTAGTAGTTGGTGAATGTGTCGAAACGCTCCTCAAACCTCTGTTGGCGTGCTTCTTGCTCGTCCATCCGCGTGTGCATTCGAGCCATGGAATGAACCAAGTATGCTAGCGCGGGGTCGGTAGTGTGTGGTGGCTGTGGTGGCACCGGTGGCTCGGGTGCGGCGCCATCATCATGAGCACCTTCCATGGCTTTGCCTTCATGTTCCTCTTTCGCCTCATTACCATCTCTGTTCAAACCAATGCCTTCGGGGAAATACCACTTCCCGGAGTTGGACAATTTGTATTTGAGTGCACTCATGGTTTCTTTGTCCAAAATATTAGACTTGGTGGTATACACAACTTCCTCACCATCAAAATGTACCAGAAAGTGCCTGAAAATCTTAGTGAGTAAAAGAGGGTGACAAAAAAAAAATTCACCTTTTTTGGAGAGTACCACCGTTTTCATGATGAGGCGAGGTAGTGGTATTCCTTCTATATCCCCTAGCCCGACTAGCATATTTTGAAGAAGGTAAAGATCAATCTTTCGGACTTTGTGGCGGTCGTTAGCATGGGGAACAACGTTGAAACCAATGACATAGACAATGAGGCGTGTGTGGATGTCCAATAGGTATTTGGTATTAAAGCTTGTTTGGAGCCTCAAGAAACATCGTGCTGCCACCTCATCGTATGCTTTGTCACTAAGAATGTCACTTTGATTATACTCCAAAGTGGGGCCTGCATTGCTTATCTCGAGGATGTTTGAGAGGAGCTTCGGGTCAACCTTGATGTTTATTCCTTTGACCATCGTTTGGATCTCCGCGAATCCGGTTTCTTTATCGGTGATGTTAGCATAAAACTCCCGGACCAACTGGGGGTAGCATGCTCCGGTCAAAGTAAGCATCATTGCCCATCCAAACCGGGCGAACACTTCAGTGATGTGAAAATCCGCATCGATATCCGGGTGCACTATTTTTTCCTCCACAATTTTCCACTTCTTCCTTTCCTCATACCACTCCTCATTTGCATGGGTAGTGAAACTGTGAAACGAGTGTTGGAACAGGAGGAAGATGATGCGCCAGCATTTGGTTTTTGTTAGGACTTTTTCTGGTGTGCAATCTAGTTAGATGTCTTTGTATTTGTGTAGTTGTTAGTTAAATGTGTAATATGGGCCACAATTTAATATTAGCCCATTAGCCTCTCTTGTAAGCCATAAGTTAGCCATCGTCTCCTATAAAAGGAAGCTAACTTATGAGAAAACCTAAGGCATTAGAGTATAGAGTCAGAATAGAATAGAATAGTTTCAGGCTGCTCTGTCTCTCTGGAGGGAGAGTAGTGGCCATTACACGATGTGCCAGATTTCTGTTTAATCTATCTGCTTCTTCTTTCGTTCTTATGGTTGTATGATTGTTAGAAATAGGGACTAACAGTTTTCTTTTTGGAGCCATCATGCAAGGTTAGAAGAGAACATAGACACACAACACCACAAACTTCATCAATTCTAAGTATAGTTTTTTTCTAAATTTTTCATTAATTTCCCCAAAATTTCAAGTTTAATCACAAATTATGCAACCAAGACGTTTGGAATGGTCATATATCAATACAAAGTATTTCAATATCATTCAAGTCATCAATTGTAGAAATAATTTGAATTTAAACAAGACATTCCGACCTAGGGTTCAAAAATGAAAATTTTGCAAGATCTTCCCCCAATTCTCAACTTTAATCTCAAATTTTTGTTGGCAAGAATCATGTCTACATTTGTCATATAACCACAAGTAATCAACTTTTAACAATCATATACATATAATTCGTCCAAAAATCGAAAAAGAAAAAGGAATTTCGAAAATTTGATAAAATTGGGGATTTTGCCGTTTTACCTTAATTTGATGGAGAAGCAGCTTGAAGATGATGTTGTGGAGCCTAGAGAGTGATGGATTTGGACTCTTTTGGCTTAGAACTCAAGGCTATGGAAGATTTGGGGTGTGGGGTGGCGTTCTTTGGAGAGCTCGACCGAGGTGTGGAATTTGTGTTTCTCGCGTAGGGCTGAAAAAACGGATGACAAAATTTCAATATCTTGAATTGTCACTTTAAATTATTTTTTGTTGACAATACGCGATATTGTCATTTATTGTTTCAAGTATAGATGACGAAAGTCATACATAAGTGACAAAACATCAACTTAAAAGTGACACATTAGGCCGGCGTCACTATAAGTGATCAGTAATTGTTACGATGAGCTAAAACGTCATAAAAAATGACAGTATTGTTGACAATACGTGATTTCGTCATTTATTGTCTCAAGTATAGATGACGAAATTCATATATAAGTGACAACAAAATCAACTTAAAAGTGACGCATTAGGCGTCACTAAAGGTGATCAATAATGGTTACGATGAACTAAATCGTCATAAGAAATACTATATCTTTTATCTTTGCCACGGAGCTACAATGACGATCACTGTGACAATCTTAATTCGTCACAAAAAAGGTTTGAGTGACAAAAAAAGAACTTTATGTGACGAATTTTGTCATCTTAATTTGTCAAAATTCTTGTAGTGATTAAACTATACGATTAAGATGTTTTTCTCTTTGACGGATTCGTTTTTTGCTGTTTTGATGAACAACTACACTATATGTTTATGGCTTCTTATAATATTATGTTTATACCTCTTATATGAATACATGATTGACATAAATTATTTTTATTTTACCATTTGTACTACCAATAGTTCCAGGAATTACAAAAACAATTATTATACTTCGCTGACGCCTAGTCAGAGTCTGGGTGCCCTAGGCGCTAGGCGGTGCTCCGCCGCCTGACTAGCGCCTATCGAGTTCTAGAACACTGGGTGTAGCTGGATGAAGATGACCCGAAATGGCGATTTACGGGCTATTATATATTGTTTCGCTGAACAGAGTTGAAGACGGGATTCTTGGGAGTTAATCAAACGGCTTTCACAAGTGGCAGATAAACCATGGCTCATCATGGGAGATTTTAATGATATACTCTCGGATTCTGAGAGGCGAGGTAGACTGCCACAACCCTAGTGACTATTACGAGGGTTTAGTGACGTGGTTCATAGCAGCGGCTTGTTGAATGTACCTTTTGAAGGGTATCAATGGACATGGCCACATGGGAGAGGGATCGGGGAACTCCAAACTCCACCTCCCTAGCTAGCATTCCGATTAGCGAATGAGTACGGAATTTGAGTGACAAGAATGCTTAGCTTATGAGTACGAAATTATGCGTTTGTTTTCAACGATAATCCATCCAGCTCGGGTACCAAAGGATAAATCCCTGGTCTAACTGCTACAAACTGACAAGAATGCTTAAGTGGAAGAAGAACGTAATTGGGAAGGAGAAAACGTGATTCTAAAGGCTGAGACCTTCCTTCATAGATATAACCATAAATACAAGACTAGAAAATATATAACCGCTCCTAAAATAGAGAACTACATTGCACTAAAAATAAAATTACAATAGGAGTCCTATTGCACTCGATGAATTAACGTAGACTTTATCGTTGAAATATGTGGAATTGTGACTTGTGTCTTTGAAGCCGACCGCTCCTCTGGTATGTGCCCAGTGGTTTTTCATTACGTTTGTGTCCATAACTTCTATTTTAATAAACATTTAGGAAAAATGTCATACACTAGTAATAGTAATAGGTGGCCATTATACACCATTTTCTTAATTAAAATTAGTATCAAGTAAATCGGAAATTGTAATAGTTTTTCGAAATTGTAGTAGTTTTTGTAAATAGAAAGAAAAGTTTATCATTCTCATTTGAAATTTGGGTAGAATCTAGAAAGTGAACAATGAATACACATAAAAGACATACTTTTGTATTTCTTAAAGATGTCTTCTTCTTAAAGATGTCAATGTTTTCGTTAAAGAAAACCATATTTTGGCTGAACTCTAGACTGTGGCGATTTACTAATAAATTAACCATGAAACATTTCTGAAAAGGTAAAGGAGTGGCATATAAAAGAGCTGCATTTTTTCGGGTCATGTACTCATGTGCTAGAAATGTGATAGTCCTAAAAGGAGTTTGGGTTTTGGATATCAGATTCTCTAGTCCAACAGTATCTACTCACTAGTCTGTGTTCCATCAATATGATGCAGAGAGGTATTAAATCTCTGAACTTATTCAGTTCTTATTTATTTTTGCTGAATTCATTGCATTCTATTCCATTATACTTCTTTTGAATAAACTACATTATACTCCGTATTTAAGATTTGGAATTAATATCTAGAGAATTTTACAATTGGAGATGTTAGTTTACGAACTATGGATTTAAGTTAATACTTGGTGTTGAAGGAAACTACATCAAATAGGCTAAGGTATAAATGAGACCTTGTTTCACTTTCTATTGACATATGAAGCATATTTTTAAACTTATTCCAGTCTTTCTTCTTCTTTAAATGCAGGCTGTTCTACCTCTGATCTTTTCTTTTTTTTTGTAAATTGCATTAAACGGAGTAATGTAGTTCTTGGAGTAGTGTGAGTAAATTGTCTAATTCGATAGAGCAAGACCTTCTTTGGAATTCGATAGAGTAAATTGCATGTAACTTGCTCTATCTTTTCTTTTGGAATTCGAAAGAGCAAGACCTTCTTTGGAATTGTAGAAATAATTGTCACCTTGTTTCACTTTCTACCTTGCATCTTAGTTGTACTCCTCGTTTGAGTTTCCATCACAAGAGCAAGTGGATCAGCAGTATTTCCTTCAGGTTCTGCAGTGTCATTCACGAATTGTTGGAGATGGTCATGGATGGTGTAGAGATCAACTTCATCTAGATCCAAATTTTGTCTTATATTCTTCAACATCCTCTTCCATTCAGGGCTCAGACTAGAAAAAAAGCGTATGTTGATGTGTGTTTTCTCGCACTTAAAATAGATCGTAATATAGTGGTGTAAGTACGAGTATTGTCTCCACAGGGACAGACAAAAGGGAATTAAAGATTAACTAAATTCAGCGATTAAAAATGAAATAAATAAAATAAATGCGTCGTGCGAGATTGGTTGATTTGAAAATTAAACTAATGCGGTTGAGCGAATAAAAAATAAATGTGGTTTCTAATTAATTAATGACGAAGGGAATAGGGATTGATTCCGGGGTAACCAGATTTCTGGCAGATCAGGCCTAATTACATGAAATTGATTTAATTGAGCCTAGCTAATCATTACTAAGTTCTTACCGCTCTCGTGGCGTAGAGTACAATAATTTAGGGGACCGGGCTGATCTCTCATGCGACAGGATCCTAAATTATTGCCAAGACGAGCGAGCTTACGGCTCCTTAATCGCTACTAATCTCTTAGCGAACGATTAAGTGTGTGTGAATGTGTCCTAGAATAAACTAGATCTCTCTTAATTTATTCTACAAGCAATTGTAATTCTAGCCGCGGTTCCAGGTTACAAAAGATATCAGTTAAATTATTCAAAAAAAAATTAAATGGCATTCATGCAATTAAACCGACAAGAATCTAGCCATCAATCATGATTAACCCCTTCATCAATCCCAAATCCCTAATTAAACTACTCACAATTCATAATTGAAGAATCAACAGAATTGGGATGAATAGAAATAATTGTCATTAATTAAAAAGATGAATTTACAAATAATCCCAGGGTCTTGGAGTAAACAATTGTAAAAACGCATGTAAATTCGTCCCTAGGCCTCTCCGTAATGTTCTTAACCCTTAAAAAGGGTTAGGGGGGCCTTATTTATAGAAAAAGGTGGGAAAATATGAATTTGGGCCGAATTGGGATTCAATTTCGCGTAACCCGGAGCTACGCACGTCCGTGCGTTGCTGGCAGTGTCTCCCTTGCTTTCTCGCCTCAGACGCACGATCGTGCGTTACCCTACGCACGACGTGTGTCAAACTTCCGAATTTGACAAAACTTCCTTCCTGAAAGTTGTAGAAAATGAAGTCTTCTATCCAACCCAATTTGCCGAATGTGATTTGAATCATCCAATCAAGAGATATGATCAAAACGGTGGAAAGGTGTCATTCTGAAATCGCAGTAGAGATCATCTGACTTTATCGTCTGTTTGCACCTTCTTCCTCGCAGATTCTCGCAAAGATGTCTTCATATGATTTGTAGCCCTTGAATTTATCTTTCATATACAACTTGAATCGTGTCCATTGGATGCTTCTACAAAGAGATATGCTTGAACGATTGACCAAAGGTCATCCTAATCGTCGTTTTCAAGCTTCATTCATCTTCTTTTTGATCTCATAGCCAATCCTAGAGCTCTTTTGTCATTAAATCTTCATCGTAAACCAACCGGTGGCCTCCATAGCTCTAAAATCAACACTCAAATGCATCTTGAATCATCCCGATTGCTCCTCAAGTGCCGATGTTGAACTCTAAAATCCTGATTTTGACTCCAAATGACACAAAACTCGAACCAACGCCTGTTAAACATAACTTGAGCTAAAATTGAGACTTGTAACACCTTAAA